AGTAAACATCTTTTGACATAACAATCATTTCTTGTTTGAGTTAATACAGATGCACTTCAAAGCACTCATTTTGGTTCAATTCTAACATTTACTTTTTAAATACTTTTTTCCCCAATGGCACTGTTTTAAATGCCCCTCACCTTATAAAAACATTAGGAAAATGAGGTGGTGACATAGCTAGCTAAGAACATATAAATTCTGGGGTTATAGTTCTTTAGATATCCATTTTCCATTCAACCTCTATGTCCTATTTTTAAAATGCAGTAACCAATTCATTTGCACAGCATTTTCAATTAACAAAATGCATTCTTTCTATTTAACTCATTTGGTTTGCACAACAACCTTGTAAAATAGATAGGGGGTTTTATTTTATAAATGAGGAAACTGAATCCCTGAGAGGTTAAGAAACTTGCCCAGGGTCATTCAGCAAGACTATCTTCCCAACTAAATCTTATGGTATTTTCTACTACTCATAAAATCCTTTATGAAAAATGTCCAACAAGGGCATCTCTGAGATTTGACCTAAACACTAAATTGACTTAAAATTACTTTTTTGCTCTCTACCAAAAAAACTGTTTATTAATCAATCAGTAATCAACATCAGTAAACCAAGAACAAAAACAGACAAACTAATATTCAAATTGACAAAGGTGCCTTCACGACAAAATTTTATAAGGAACATTCACCCAACCCAAATTCTTACTCCCTAATCGCAGCTCTCTTCACTTTCTTAATGCCATCTCATTTGTATTGAGATAACAGTTTCCTAGAACTAATGATAAATCTCCAAAAGGATTTTAAGTGTGAAAAAAAAGTGTGTGAAAAGTGTGAAATTAAAGCCAATTGTGTGAAAAAAAAGACAATGATCAATCCAGACAAATAGCTAAAACCAACATATTATAGAAAGCAAATGTATACATGTGGCTCAAACAAATCAAAAGTGAGGAATACTAGTTTCCAGACATTAATTGTTCTCTACCATAGGACCTATCAGTTTAGCATTATATCCACACTGGGGTTGAACAGCATATGCCTTTTGGTTTCCCATGATGCATTCTGTTCTTCCTAACTATGGCTGTGTATCCACATAGCAGTTAATAAATCACACACACTTAAATTACTTCCACACTTAGAGATGCAATAACTATGCCTCCAGCACTCAAAAATCATTCTAATGTTCTAATAGACAATTTAAGCTATTACTAGTAATTAGAGAACAAGAGCTGGGTAAGGTAAGAAAAAAATACAGGTATGTCTGGAATTCAAATAGAGTATTTTAAAGTACTTGGCGAGCATCAAATGAGATAATGTGAAAGCACTTTTAAACTTGCATATATTATATGCAGATGCAAGTTCTTATAATGACATATATCATCATAGATGTATATATTTTTTAAAGATAGTAATGAACATACAATCTTGATTAACTTTTCAATAGCATAAAATTGCTTCAAGTCTTTTGAATATAAAATGAAGGTAATACAATCTATGTCACTCTAAATGAAAGCACTAATTAGGGCTTTCAATTCTATACATGAAAAATGCTGAATAAATTTAAAAATATATACCATACCTAAAGATAATTATGCCTTTGGTTCAGTCTCATGATACAAGTCCCCTTAAAATGATTAAAAAATATTAAAACATGCCTTTATAAAAAGCTTCCAAGTCACAATTTCAATATATAAAATTTGTTTGTTAACAAAAACTTCATTTAAACACACACATACACACATACCCCTCATTACTATGTTTGTAGTCTCCAATAAAGCTCCAAGGAGGAAGCAATAAAATAGTCAACAATTCAACAGGGTCACCACAAAATGAACAGACATCTGTAATTATTTAAATTATCTACCATAAGATGAATTGTAAGAAGCAAATCTAATTCTATTACATTGTAAATAAGAGTCAAGCAGAAATGAAAAATGTCCAGATTAAACTTCAAAAAAACTCACCATTACTTCAAATTTCTCCCTGTATCATTACTTAAAATTCTGAAAGTTAATTTAGAATGTTTTATTTTGAATGCCATATTCAAAAACCTTACAGTTCAACATAAACTGACAAACATTTCATAAACAGGCTCACATTTTAAAAGGTACTTCAGATCTGAATATGTCAGTACTAGACTGCTAGTAGCTTTAACAAAATACCTTTCCTTTTGTCCAAATTATAAGTAAAACACTAAATCAGATTTAAGAAAGAAAAGAAGAGGGATTTCTAGAATGCATAATAGTAACAGTAATGAAGTGTTGAAGAAATCCAATTTATTATCTTAATATTCCTCTGGATAAATCAAGTTAAGCAGCACATACAATTTAAGTGAAAGTACACATACAGACAGAAAGGCAGGAGTTTTGTTTCATAGTACACATGGCTATGCAATCTTAATTCAGTATTTTGATATCCTTGTTTATAATCCTTTAGCTCTTCATCATGCATTTGTATTCTTTCCTTTTTATACTAGTTTACCTTCAGTTTGAAGTATTGCTATATAATTTAACATACAGGATTATACTATTTATAAATACTATGTACATATAACATTTTACTACTTACTAATACTTGTCCTAAACTTCAACCTGAAACATGTAGCTAAATCAAAGATCACATTGTATAAATCCATTGTTCTAACAGCATTTTAAAAAATACCTACACTAAGAAAGAAAAAAAAAAAATCTCTCCCACAATGAAGCCACACAAAATCAAAGGTCAAATGTGAAATAATTTTAAGCAACTATACTACTGATGCATCCAGTGATCAATCTAACACAGCACATTCAGTTCTAACCTCTATACTTCTCCTTCTGCTCAAATTCTCACTCAGCCCTACCCCATCTTCCCTTACAAAGAAATTTATAAGTAAAGAACAGATATTTGATTTAAAATAGGACCATATTAACAAAATATAATATTCCTAGAAGCACTGGATCCCAGAAAAATAAAAACCTTTGTACAATATGAAAATTAAAAACAAAAGATGCACTATCTAAATTATAGACAATGTTCAAACAATAGATGAAAGTCTGTGTATATGAAAATAAAAATGTGTAAGGAAATATAAAACACAATAAATTCAAAAGATAAATGTGAAAATCAGGTATCTATAGGGATATACAAAAGGATTAACAACAATTAAAAAAATAACTGGTTAAAATTTAAGCTTCACTAATCATGAAAAAAAGAGCTAATTAAATCAACTAGGGGCTATTTCACCTATTAAAGCTACCAAAAGATTTTAAAAGTATTTAAAAACTCACTCTAAGCACCTAGATGGTAACATCATAAATTAGTACTATCTTCTGGAGAGCAATTTTATAACATATAAGAGAAGCTAAAAAACCAATGAGACCCTTTGACCTGATAACTCCACTTTAGAAATACAGTCCAGGAAAATAAATCCAAAAAAAGAAAGGAAAAAAAGAAGAAAGACTACTTAACTATGCAAAGACATTAATGAAAAACTGGAAGTAATCTAAATGTTCAACTGAATGTTGAGTTCAAATCATAGCCAACTTAAATGTAACTGAATCTTTTCCTACCACTGAAATGACAATGTCTATTCAAAAAAGAAAATTTAAATAGATATTGGTAAGCATTGTTTTGCCCCTTTTTTGGCAGGACTTCAGTCCAACAAAAAGTCTGACTATAAATTAAATACAGTGATAATACATGCAGTTTTTCCAAAATAGTTTTTATCCACCTGAGAATTTTTTACCATTAGTAGTATAGATGGTGGAGTTTATCCATATTACAATTATTACACCATTTTGTGATATACAAAAAATAAAATATTTAGTCAGAAAACTAAAATTATTATTTAATAATTATTAACATGGCTTCATTATTGTAATTTAATATAAAAATTGTCAAATTAACACTAAATCAGTTTAAATATTATATTATTAAATCATTTTATTTATATTTACAGTCTACCATACCCCTTCAACTTTCTTTAACTTTGATTTTCCTCCATTTGGATCTTATTTGAAGGAAAGATAGCTGAATTTAGTTTTTAGTAACATCACCCCTTTCTCCTTTCATTTCCTTCCAATTCACTGTACCAGAGGCTAACGCAAGGGGACATCTTCCCAAAAATAAAAAAAACACCACCTTTTTGTGTGTGTCAATGCTGAACAGAAGTGCATGGACACTATGAATTACATTTATAGGAGAAACAACCCAGTCAATCCAATGCCTTTGGTCCTTTACTAAAGTATATTTTAAAATATAACCATTGTTGGCTCTTGTAAACCCCAAATCGTGTTTCATCAATTCTCAAAAAGGTCATAATCCGTAGTTGTTATTTAGTGAAAATGTATCTGCAGAAATGCGATATAATGATTTAATGAGCTATTTTCTAAAATGTGATACATAGAATAATTATGCTTTTTTATTCTGTAGTCAATTACCTAAACCCGGCAAATTTTGGAATTCGCTTTATGCTTCCTATTATTTTTAATTGTGTCGTTTTGCCCAATCCAGGGTCGGTTAACTCCCCTCCTTAGCCCCCTCCCCCGTAAGCCCCCCCACCCCCCCAAAGACTAAGCCTGGCCTCAGTTCCCGTATTTCAAGCCAGGACCAACCAGAAACCAGTTTTCTTCCACTAATCCGGAACTCTGGGCTGTTACCAACGCTGTCATTGGCCAACGTCAGTCCTTGGTACGTGCCCCAAGATAACCCCCAGGTTTCTCTCCCTTTTCCCCCTACAATGGGCCTTTCTCAATGTTTGTAACATATTCATAATCCACAAAACGGCATCTCTGATAACTAACTCACATTCTTCAAAGTTTCCGAGTGGAAATAAGCGAGGCCAGGGGGAGGACAAGGTACCCTTTCTCTGACTGGCAGGGAGGGGGGGAAGGGGCAGTCGTTCTTCGGCCCAGCGCAAAGCTCTACAGTCCTGTTGGCTAAGGGGTAGGGAGAGGGTTAGGGGAACAAGGTGGGGAGGGAGTGGAGAAAGAGTTGGATTAAGTTGAAATGAAAACTTTACTCACCAGATCCTCGAAGCTTCTTCGGTGCTCTTTTCCCTCCCAGTCCAAGCGGCGCGGAATCAACTGGGGGTGAGAGAAAAGAAAGGGTGGGGGTGGGCAAACCATATAGGCCATGCCTTGGCTCCCAATGAACCCGACCCAACCCGGGTCCTGGTCCCCGACCCTCTGGCGTCTGTATTTCTCTAGGTCCGATAGCTGTTGCCTCAAAGCTAGTCCAGTGTAGGAAGGAGGAGGCCGAGGGGGGAGGAAATCCTGAAAAACCGCCCCCCTTGGTCATAAAGAGGGGTGAGTTAAGACCCCGGCGATATCCGCCCCTTTTGAGGGAAGAAGCTGGTTCACTCCAGTGACAACAGTTACGAGTGCCCAGATCCAAGCTTCCCTCCCAGCCCCTGTCCTCCGCCCCTGACTTGCCCTCCCCTTCCTCCAGTCTCACCCCAAACCTCCCCACGTCTTCCCGAAGGGGCTCCGTACCTGATGCTCCTCGAGCTCCTGCACTAGCACCTGAGCAAAAGGGAAACACGGATATGAGGAGCAGCTTGGGCCATCAACACATTCCTCCCTCCCCACTTCGAACCCAGCCGCTGACGGCAGGACTAGTCAAGGCCGGCCTTTCCCTCACCCTCAGTGAAACCGCACACCCGAAGCCTCGATTTCCCCATTGGGACCATTCCCCAGAGCTCCTTCTCCCTCTCACCTGAGCGGATTTGTTGCAGGGTCCGGACTGCAAGAATCTAGCGATCAGGTAATACAGCTCTGTGGAAGAGGGGAAAAAGAGGTTGAGAGGGAGGTAAAGAAAAACAGAAGCTTTTTCAAAAGAAACTGACAGCCGTCGCGCTAAGCTCCCATCTCCTTATCCCCCAGACACAGTTACCCACCGGCTTCGATCTGGGTAGGTGCCGCCGCCATCCTTTTCCCTAGGGGGTTTGGGGGCTCCGCTCCGGAGGAGCTGGCGGGGGCGGGTGGGGGCGCTGCCTCTATTGTGGTGAAGCCCCCATGCCCAGGAGTCCCACCGCTTCCGCCCCACTCCTCGTCCTAGTTTTGGTCTCTCTGGTCTCTCTCGGATTCATCGCATCACGTATCGACCCATAGATATTCTAGCCCAAGAGCAGAGGAGGCGGAGAGAAAGGAGAGAGAGGAGAGAGAGGAGGGGGGGAGAGAGAGAGAGAGAGAGAGAGAGAGAGAGAGAGCGAGCTAGCCAGCCTGAGAGAAGAGAGGGGAGGAGCCGAAGTGGCGGGGGGGTGGGGGGACGGGGCAAAGGGGGTGGAGAGAGGGGAGGGTAAAAACTGAGAGGAGCCTGCAGGGCTCATTGTTCGCCGCTAGGGGCACTAACGCAACCGAATGTCCTCCACTCTCCCTGAGGCCGGCGGTTGCCTAGCTACCGCTCCCGGAAACGGGGCGGTGCTAACTGACGGCCGACGCTCTGGCTGAGGCCATACAACTCCATGGTGCGCTCTCCTCCGAGAGCTCTTGAGTACTTTTCCTTTCCTGTGAGAGCAGTCCAACTCTTTCTTGTTGAGCACCTTTCCCTTTGGCGTTGTGAGGAACGTGTGAGGGGTTGACTTGATTCAGTGCTTTCTTCTTTTTCCTCCCGTCACCAAAGAGGCTTTGTTGTTTTTTGGGGTTTTGTTTTGTTTTGGCTCTCCACCGAAAAGAGGCCAGCCACTGAAGGATCTTGCGACTGAGGCGGAAAAAGGAGCCGCTATATCTATGTCACTTGTTTCGCTTTCAATTTTTTTTTTTCAAGATTTTAATTATTTATTCATGAGAGAGAGAGAGAGGCAGAGGGAGAAGCAGGCTTCCCACGGAGCAGGGAGCCCGATGCGGGACTCGATCCCAGGACCCTGGGATCATGACCTGAGCCGAAGGCAGACCCTTAACCATCTGAGCCACCCAGGCGCCTCTCAAATGGTTTTTGTACCAGATGAAAATGTTCTACTTACCAGTCCAGAGTACAGGGCTCATATTGTGGGGGGAATATGCCGTCAGATATGAAGCATTTTATTTTTTACCCTTCTGAAAGTTTAAGACGTGCCATATCTGTCTCATTCCTGTAGGATAATTTTCAATTGTGTCTTAAAGAACTACCAAAGTATTTTACATTAACCATGGATTTTTGTGCATTATTACATATCTGTATGCAAGGTTTTAGGTATTATTACAAATCTGTATGCAAGCTTTGGGACAGTTTTTGTTTTTTAATACGTAGAATCCTAAATTTTTAGTACAGTACTGACTTTAAGTATTTGGTTACTAAAATCTTAAGTGATTAAAGGATTTGTAGAATAATTGGTACATATATAATAAACTGAGTCTCCGTTTCTACTTTTCCTTAATATTTTGTTCCAACCTCAAGCCTTGACCAAAAAAAAGTAATTAATAGAAGCCAAACCCGATGAGACTAGAGATGATGTTTAAGCTGCATGTACTATTTACATTCATTAAAATAATCAAATTTGAAGGTTTACCTTTTAAGGTTAGGGATGGATTCTTAGAAATTTGGTTTCCTTACTCAGAGTTTAGCCATTGATCGCTGTTGGTCTAGAATTGCATTATGCTGATAATAATCTTAGCCTAGGTTGTTTAGCTCTCACCCTGGCCATGTTTTCCCCTTAGAAAGAAAGAACCACACAAGGTAATTGTGATATGATAGTTCTATCTTTGGTGGTTATGCTACAGTACTTGAAAAATGTCATTAACAACAACAAAAAAAGATTGAAGAAATATATAAGCCCTAGACAACTCATTACAAATAGTTTAGCAAAACACCAGATTAAATATTTTTTACAAGTCAAGTATAATATATATACCAGTTAACATTATCAAGCCACTACCATGCACTAAGCACTTTATATACTTCACTTCATTTAATCTTTATAAATCTTTTTAAAACCCTAGGAGGTAGGTTTTATTATTATCCCCATTTTACAGATAATAAAAATGACTATATGACTTTGCACAGCTTACTTGTATTCTGTGAGCCTTGTTCCTCATCTGTTATATGTAATAGTACTTGCTGTGCCCACTTCACAGGAATTGCTTGCTGTAAAAGTCATGTGAATATATTCATACCATATTTCAAACTTTATAGGACATTGTTATTCCAGTATCAGTCTGGGTGCAATCAGGAGGGAAAATTGCTATGAATTACTAATTAATTCAAATTAACATGTGCCTTTTAAGAAAGTTTAAGATACAAAATTATTAACAATAATTTTATTGTTAATTATCAAGAATAATTAACTAATTACTAGTTAATAATAATTAACATTAATGACATTTTCAAGTACTATAGCATAACCACCAAAGATAGAACTATCATATCACAATTACCTTGTGTGGTTCTTTCTTTCTAAGGGGAAAACATGGCCAGGGTGAGAGCTAAACAACCTAGGCTAAGATTATTATTAACAATAATAGGAGATTGGAGTAATGAGGGATTACCTTGTAAGGAGTAAAGAGAACTCTAATATATAATATAATAGTAAATATAGAGATATATAATATAATAGTAGATAAAATAGCCACTACTCCTAGAATTGAGATATAGTACCCTCAACCCCTACTCCCCACTTAGGACTAAGATCCAGACTTGGTTGGAGAGAATGAAACCAGACAAGACTTATTAATGGCAGGAAAGATGCTGTGGTACCTTGTGGGCAGAACTTGCTGAAACTACAACCTCTGGAAGTCACTGGAACTCTACCCTGGGGATCAGTCTTCTAGGGTGCCTGAGAAATGTGTTCATGGGGAAGTTTATCACCAGAAGGACATTACTACAAAGCCACCAGGAGAAGCATGCCAGGGGAAGCTGCTACAGGTGCTACCAAAACAATGCACCACAGGAACAAGGCACAGGAGAAATTTTACAAGCTGGGGGAGCAGCCTACCCGGTAAAAATGCCAGAAGCAGGAAGCAAAACCCTTTCTTCCTGCACTGTATTTCCAGTTCCATCTACTGACAAAGCTTCAGTTCTAGCTGACAAAAGGAAAAATATTTAAATGTCCCAGATCAGGGGGCCTGGGTGGCTCAGTTGGTTAAGCAGTTAAGCATCTGCGTTTGGCTCAGGTCATGATCCTGGGGTCCTGGGATGGAGCCTGGAGTAGGGCTCCCTGCTCAGCGGGAAGCCTGCTTCTCCTTCTCCCTCTGCCTGCCACTCCCCCTGCTTGTGCTCTCTCTTCCTCTCTCTCTCATTCTCTGTCAAATAAATAAAATCTTTAAATAAAAATAAATAAATCTCCCAGATCCATTTTCATAGAGTAGTCAAGAAGGGAGAATTTAGAGATGATAAGCAGTAAATCAATAAACTGGCACAACTTCCTTGCTTTTCTCTTGAGTGTAATGACTAGGTTGACAAAAGGAAAGTTATTAAAATGTGTATATTAACATAAAAAGTTTTCATTTGTTGTTTATGATAAGCCAAATGCTTTGAATTACTTTGTTGCAATAAAAGTCACCAGTATAGGGCACCTGGGTGGCTCAGTTGGTTAAGTGACTGCCTTCGGCTCAGGTCATGATCCTGGAGTCCCTGGATTGAGTCCCGCATCGGGCTCCCTGCTCGGCAGGGAGTCTGCTTCTCCCTCTGACCCTCCCCCCTCTCATGTGCTCTCTCTCATTCTCTCTCTCTCAAATAAATAAATAAAATCTTAAAAAAAAAAGTCACCAGTATTAACCCTGTGCCCAAAAGCTTAATTGGGAGGGGAAGGGAATTTTCATAAATGAAAGTAAACATGGATTTACAAAGAAAAAATCTGGAATGATTGCCTGATTGGGTGTGTTAGTTCCCTAGGACTCCAATAACAAATTACTACAAACAGGGTGACTTAAAACTAGAGAAATCTGTTCTGTCACAGTTCTAGAGTCCATAAATCTAAGATCAAAGTATCACAGGGACACACTCCCTCCGAAATCTAGTACAGAATCCTTCTTTGCCTTTTCCAACTTCTGGTGGCTCCTGGCATTCTTTGGCTTGTGGCAGCATAACTCCAGTCTCTGACTCCATCTTCATATGGCCTTTCTTCTGTGTCCCTGTGTTAAAAATCTCTCTCCTCTTTCTTATAGAAACACCAGTCATTGTATTTCAGGTCCACCCTAAGTCCAGAATAATATCATCTCAAGAACCGGAATGATTTACATGTGCAAAGACACTATTTTCCAATGAAGTTATATTCACACATACTGGGGATAGGGAAATGTACATATCTTTCAAAAGGGACATAATTAAACCCACAAAATTGTTTTATTCTGTCTCCTTAAAAATAATGTTAATGGAAGACCAAGGTTGAAAATTTAGCAAATATCCCTAGTATGGCAAAAAAAGAAAATTAAAATGTAGGGAATCCTGAGATGGAGGGACAGAAGTGGTAAATTAGAAGGTTAATATAATAAACTGTATAAATAAATAGTTCTATTTTCTTATCTCATTTTCTTAAAAATGTATACAATGTAATAACTAAAATAATGTATTCTTAGATTTTTAAATATATCACATACATTATGATGTTAATATATTTTAACATACTAAATAGATATAATATGCATAACAAAAATAGGAAAAAAGAAGGAAGAGAGAAGAGAACTATACAGGAGTAACATTTGTATATCTTAAAGGAACTAAGTTAGTATAAAAGTGAACTATATTCTGCTAAGAGACATGTGCAAGCCCTAGGACCACTAAGAAAATAACTTAAAAAATAGTGAAAAAATAATTTAAAGAAGTTCCACTAGAAAATATTTACCTAATACCAAGAAAAAAGAATAGGACAAAAAAGGCATGAGACATATAGAAAAAATTAAAATGATAGACATAAATCCAACTACATCAATAACAGCATTACATGTGAATAGATATATTCTACTTCCAGGATAACAGCATGAAGAGCTTTGTGGATAAGCTTCCCAGTGAAACTAGTGGAAATTATAAAATATAAATAACCATTTAAAAAAATAAAAAATAAAATCTCTAGAAATGGTCTTAAAATGGCATAACATAAATGAAAAAAGCACGTATTTAAGAAAATCTAAAACTTTAGAAACAATGAAAGTTTATGGTATTTGAAACAAGAACCACTCCCTCCTTCCCCCCAACACAAGCTTATCTAGGGAGAAACTCCACTTCAGAGTAAAATAACTAAAAAATATATGGCTTCCTCTCCCCCTATTTCTCAGTTGAAGGGCTATCTTTTTGGGTGGCACAGGGCATAAGTGTTT